AACGGTCACAGCAGCGCGGCGGGCCAGGACCTCTTCTTCGACCTCGGCCAAGCGGCGGGCGACGACGACGGCGAGACGTGCTGGAGCATCGACGCCAAGTGGTGGGAGCGGGAGGCCCCCGAGGACCCGTGGCCAGCCGACCGCCTGGAGGCGGAACAGAGCGCGGCCGCAGACGACCCCCTATACCTCACCCAGGTGTGGTGGGCTGCGCGGGCGGCAGAGCGCTGGCACCGTGCTGCGGCTGGCCGGTTCGCTCCCAAGCACAAGACCAAGCGGCGCCACGTAGGCGTGAAGCGCTGCGCCAAGCGCGGCCCTCCCCGCACCGCTGGCGGCCCTCCGAGGCGCGGGTTCTTCGTTGGCCAGACCTTCGCGAGCGTTGCCCACGTGCCGGAGCTGGACATCAAGGCCTCCTTCGAGGGCCCGTTCCGCGGCTACAACAAGGGCCGCGTCAAGCGCGGCACTCCCAAGGTCGTGAAGTGCTACCGATGCGGCAAGCCAGGCCGCATGCCTGCTGAGTGCAAGAGCCCAGACAACCTCTGCTACAGCTGCGGCCAGCCAGGGCACCTGGCCGGGGACTGCAAGCAGCCGCGCAAAACGTTCTTCACCACAGAGGACGAGGCGCACAAACACGAGGAGAAGGAGGAGAAGGAAGAGGAGGCACCCTTCACCCTGGGCACGGAGGAGCACTTCATGATCAGGGAGGAGCAGGACGTTGGAGGAGGAGGCGGAGGAGAGGCGTCAGGGGCGAGGAAGAAAACGGCGACGGACTACGACGAAAAGCATCACGAGCGAGCATTCGATGCTGCTGGTCGCAGAGAAGAGTCCGCCAGCGCAGCCCAGACCTCCGCTCAAAGCCCCAGCAGAACAGCCGCAGCCCGGCCAGCAGCCCGCAGCGCCGAGAAGACAGCCGCAGCCCTGCCAGCCACTCTCGCGCATGCAGACAGCTTGCAGCTCGCGCCAACGACGACGAGAATGTCTTGGACAGAGGAGGAGGAGAAGGAGGAGGAGGATGAGGACAGACACGGTGATGATGATGATGATGATGATGATGATGATGAGGATAATGGTGTTGTTGGTACACTTGTTGGGCAGGAGCATAGAAATCTGCCCCGCGGCCCCTTGGCGCAGGACAGTGCCGTCGCACAGGCGCTGCAAAAGAGGCTTACGCCCGCGCAGCCGCTGCAGCCCCAGCCGCCGCAGCAGCAGCAAGTTGCGCGGCCCTTCTGGGTGCCAGCAGCCCCAGCAGCCTCCTCAGCAGCCACAGAGCTGCCCCCGGCGGGCAGCACGGTTCAGCGCGTGAGCCAGGGCGTCGTCATCGCGCACAGCGGAGACACGGTGCTGGTCCAAGACAGCATCCACGGGTGCGTGATCACCACGCCCCTGAGGAACTTGAGGCCTGATGGGAATAGAAATATTCCGCCCCAGGCACAGGTGCCTTCTGGAGGTGGCGCTGGGCATAGAAATGCGCCCGGGGCCAGCAGCGACATGCATAGAAATGCGCGTGCTGCAGCCTCCAACAGTAGCGCTGGCAGTCCCGTCGCAACATGGGCCTCGCATGCGCCCACTGCCAGCGCGCCGCCAGCAGCGACGACCACGAAACAGACCAAGACACCACCTAGGGGCGACAATGTTGAGTACGTGAAAAGCTTCTGGCCTCAGGTGTTCCATCGCTGCCAGGTTCCCCACCGACGACGGCGATCCCAGCGCCAACGCACGCGCGGCAGGGTCACGTGTTTGAGCAGGGACCACGACGCCCAACAACCGCGACGACGACCACGCAGCAGTGGCCCACAGCTGAAAAACGCGCACAGGCTGTTGTCAAACCAGCCCCCGAGACTTCAGCTGAGAGTGCGCAGCGTTTTTGCTTGACGCCGTCTGCCGCCTCTCACGCGGCCCCTTCACTTGCTGCCGCGTCTTCAGTGGCAGCGCCTCCGCCGCTCCCAGGAGCAGGACGGCCTGACCGGAGAACGCCCGCTATAGTGGGCAAGCAGCGAGGAGGAGTGGCACGTGCACTCCGTGCCCGAACGTCCAGTTGTGTTTTTTTTGTTTGCCACCGCCAAGCAGCGCCTCATCGGCCGAGCCCGCGGCAACTGCTCACCTTCTCTTCTCAGGCGAGCAGTTCTGCTCCGAGAGCCCCTGCCGTGCCCCCGCGGTGGCAGGACAGGGCCGAGGTAGACCCGCTGGTAGCAAACGACCCTTGGAAGCAGACCGACAACATACTACCCAGTGTTCTAGCGGGGCGAAGACGCACAGAGAGACATTGAGCGCCAGAGCGTGCACAACAACACCGAGGCCAAGATCAGCGATGAGGAGGACGGACTGCTGGTGGACACCGGAGCCCGCAGGAACCTGACAGGCAGGAGCCTTGTAGACCGGCAGTCGCACGCGGCACAGCGGCGCGGCTGCGAGACCACCTGGGCGACGCTGGACCAGCCGAGGCGGATGAGCGGCGCGGGCAAGGGTGCTCAGATAGCACACCGCGCGGCCACCATTCACTGAGTGGTGGGCGAAAGTGATATGATATCCTACTCGGCGCCCGTCCTGGAAGATGAAGGTGCCGACGTCCCCGCCCTCTACGGCCTGGGCCCCATGGCAGCGCGCAACGCGTGCGCGGGCACCCGTGCAGGGCGATTGCACATGATTCCCGAGGGCACAGACGACCAGATCATCTGGCCGAAAGGAACGCGGGTGATCGAGTGCAAGAAAGCGCGCTCCGGCCACTGGATGATTCCAATCTCCCGGTGGCACAAGCTGAAGAAGAAAGGCGACGTCGTCGCCGTGGCCTACGCCGTCTCGACTGACAAGGGGGTCGCCGACTCCTGACAAGCCCCTCAGACGCCGAGAACTTCGGACCGTTGCTCGGGCGCTTCAACCTCAAGGCCGCCAGCAGCCAAGCGCGTCGGTTCCCCGGCATTGCGTTTGGCACCGCAGCCCACGCCCAAGCCCCCTACCCCGCTACCACCAGCAGCCAACGCCAGCCGTAAACATGAACGCAAGTGTCCGATGATGTTCCTTGTGGGAGAAAGGTTGGCGACAATCAAAATGACCCTTGGCAAGTGCGAGCTTCAGCCGCATCGATCATGCCCAATGCTGAACTTCCAGCGTCGCCAGACTTCACCTGATGCCTGCGCTATGCTTCAAGCTATCCACCTTGACCGGCCGACCCTGGTTTGGATCCAGTGGCCACGCCTGCTTCATAAGCCTGGCAGGCGACCGCACGTCCGCACAGCCTTGGATTTATTCGCCGGCATGGCACAGGAGCAGCTAAAACAAGGAGGAGACGCTGTTCTGGAATGGAAAGCCTGCGACGTGCCAGTACGAGACGAGCTCTTCGCAGGAGCCGGGCGCATCGGCGGCCTCTTGGGGCACTCTTCTCGCGCGCAGTGGCGCGCGTTGGGCAGCGCAGGAGGCAAAGACGACAAGACGGTGATATGCGGCGAGCACTTGGTGATGTCGAATCAGCCCTGGCCAGACGTGCCTTGTGTCTGTCAGCGCCAGAGTTCCAGCTGCGCGGCGAACGATGGCATTGCACACGAGCAGCTCGCGGAGAAGATCATGACCCACTTCAACATACTCACAACCAGCGACATAACACCTCCCAGCCGCGACTGGCACCACACCCAACGACTGCTTCGAGACAAAGCAGGCGCCAGAGACTACGTGAAGTAACAACACAACACAGAGCAGCCACAACCGCCACAACGCAAGCGCGTGACCTTCACGGGCGCAGATGTCCAGACCTACCGCGCTGAAGCACCCCACTCACAGCCAAGGGGCGCAGTTGCACCGCAGGCAATGGCAACGTTGCTAGCGACGCAACCTCCGCCGAACACCAGCACAGTCGACAAAGCAACATCCGCCGACGACCTGGACCCACCCTCACGAGCAGCCTGCCCGACAGACTCGCACGTCAGAGCCAAGAGCAAACGCGCGCAACTAGAACGCAACAAAACGCCTGAGGAGGCGAAGACCATGCGTAAGAAGAAACCTACGACACAAGAGCAGCACTTCGACGATTGTGGCAGCGACGCTGCACCCCTCGTGGCGGTGGTTGTGTCGAGGGAAACTTCGGTGCGCATCCTGCTTTCAGGAAGTGGCCAGAGGGCGCAGTCTTTGATTGCGACGGGTGCCGGGGGCGCAAAGTTTGGCACCACCCCTTGCGCGCCCGCAGATCTGAGCCTCCAGGTCTGCGTCGTTACCACGACCGGCCCACTGACGCCATCAAGTGCCCCGCTTGCTTGGCCGGGAAGGGCTCCTTAGACCCTGGCCGCGCCGAAGTGGCTGGAGAGCGCCTTGCCCCCGAGACTCGCTATCGGGATGGACGCAAGCGCCGGGGCGGACTAGTCAGAGATCCGGGCGGCCGAGCGGCGGGGGGGGGCAGAGCGGCGGAAACGCTTGACCGACGACGAGCAGCTTGACGACCCAGGACCTCTTGGAGAAAACCTCGCCGGCCCTCCTGCCATTGCAGCGGGTGGTTGCGATGCGGAAGATGGCCGCCCAGACTCTTCCGCGGGAGGTGGCGCCGGGCATAGAAATGTGCCTGGGGCCAGCGGCGACATGCATAGAAATGCGCATGCTGTAGCCTCCGGCAGTGCTTCCGGACCTGTGCTCGCGCCTGTTGGCGAACCACTTCTCGACGCCCCCGAGCAGCCGCCTGAGGTCGGCCCTCCCTCTGCAAAGGAGGAGGAGTTGATGCTCGGCGAGCTGGGCGAGCCGCTGGGCCCGAAAATTCGCAAAACTCGGTCCGACGCTGGGATTGCGCGCCCAGGCAAAGCTGACGCCGAGACGCAAGAAGGTGTAGGAGGCAATGAAGACTGGCGAACCGATGACGTTTCGCGCGTGATGGCCAGACTCGTCTGACGACGAGGAGTTGGGGAAGCTAGCCATTCAACGACTACACATCAGATGGTACCACCTTGCACCTACGCCTACGCGCATGCAAGCAATCCTGCGAGCAGCCGGCGCGCAAGCGGCAGGAGAAGCCCCTGGAGTGGTGCGAGGTCGCGATGTATGCAGAAACTGGCAAGTTCCTACAACAGCCACGGTCACGGCCACACGCCTCATCACGGAGTTCAACTACGAAGTCCAGATGGGCGTGCGGTTCCTTCACAGCCTCATTGACAGGCCACAACTCCAGCGAATCGTCATGCACCGCATTGACGCCTGCACGCGGTGGTCGGCGAACGGCGTCCTCAACGACAAGGGGGAGATCACGCTGTACACCCGCATCAGTGAGTTATGGGTTACCATGCACGGGCCTATGAGGATCTTGGTCCAAGACGGAGAATCTGGCATGAAGGGCAGAGCAGTGGCGGATTGGGCGGAGGCGAACCGTATCCAGCTCAAGCGCCGGCCTCCCGGTTCGAAAGCTTGGATTGCAGAGCGGCGCCAACAGATCCAACGCAAAACCTTCCACTCCACTGAAGGCCAGATGCAGAAAGAGGGCATTGATGCCCCTGTAGAAAAGACGCTGGCGACCGTCACGTTCGCGCACAATGCCTTGGCGAACGCCGATGGGAGCGCGGCGTGCAAAGCCTTGCACGGCAGGGCGCCCACTGTCCTCATCACCTTCGGCGGCGCGACGGAGGCGGAGCGTGGTCATCGATTTCCTCGCGGCGAGGCGCCGGCTCGCAGTCGAGCGCGAATCAGAGAGATCGCCGTGGCCAAGATCGCGGAGCGCACAGCAAAAGACCGCCTACGGCGAGCAGACCACCACAGGACGAGACCTGCTCTGGAACTCACGAAGTTGAAGGTCGGACAACAGGTCGACATCTGGTTCGAGCCGTCGTCTGAAGACGTGAGCGGCTGGCGGGGGCCAGCGGGGGCCAAGACGATCCAGCATGACGAGAACGCTGTGGCGGTGCGCTACCAGGGCAGGACCCTTGACCGACGTGGCCAAGAGGTGCGGGAGCACGTGGCCTACCTAATCTTCCTGATCAGCCAGAAACAGCACCACCACGCACAATGGACTACATTGCGCGACGCGTGCGAGAACCTGCGCATCAAGGCGGTGAAAGTGCACGGACTTGTGTACCACGGCGACACACGCAACCCCGGTTGGCATCTGACGAAGACCAGCCAGACGAAATCAGGACACCAGGTTTTGGAAGCAGGCCTCTTTGTGGCATCCACGGTGGTTCGCATTGCAGAGTGCACCACTGTGAGACTTCGGGGGGTGTCCTCCTTGCAGCTGCTCCTGAACTTCAGTTGCATTGAACTGTGGATCTGGCACTCTACGCTCCAAGGCGGGGGCGAAGACAATCCTCCCATGGTGTTTGACAGTGCGGGCGGCGACCTCGACAAGAGCATCGATATCAAGAACTTTGTCGGCAACGACCCGGCCATCCATTCCAGGGGGGCCTCTTGGAGGGATTATTGCGTCGCCCAAGGCCTGATCAGACGGTATCCTGGCATACGCTTGATGGCTGGAAACGGCCAGGTAAGTAGAAAGCCCCCATTCCCATTCCCTCCAACTGCAGCTCCCCCGAGCGGTTCGCCAGGGCCGCCTGGTGCGCCGACGCCCACAGCACCGGGGGCGTCGATGCCAGCGCCACGAGCCTCGACACCAGCACCGCGAGCACCGACGCCAGCACCGCGAGCATCGACGCCAGCACCACGACCACCGACACCAACACCACGAGTACCGACGTCGACGCAGAGGGCACCGATGCCGATACCTAGAGCGCCGACGCCAGCGCCGGAGGCACCGGCGCCTGCGCCGACTGGACCTCCTCTTCTTTCCACCTCCACCACCTCCAACGTTTGATACTAGCAGGTCTCGGTCGCGAACGACGGACACGCAAGATGAGAGTTCCATACTGGATGTTGTGATCAAATCAAGAGCAGCTGCTGCAGAACAGTCTCAGCAGCATCAGGCTGTGCTTCCGACGGCGGAGAACGCGGCACTCCAGCCTGACCCAGCCCAGGCGGCGGTCAGGGTGGAGGAGGAGGGAGACGACGATCGCGACGAAAAGGGCCTGCAGACGTGGTTAGTGGAGATCAACGAGGCCGACAGCCATCTGCGAATCTGCTTCCAGACGTGCCCTGCGAAGAGGATTCGGGAACAGAAAGGAGCTCGTTCCTGGCCGCCGACGAGCCTCTCAGCACGATTTCGACAGCACTCACCGACCTGAATGTACATGACATGGCGAAACATGCCGTCGACATCATCCAGGCCAAGAAACAGGAACTCACGAGTGTCCATGACCTTGGATGTTTCCGAAGGCACTAGACGAGTTTGGCAAATAACGTCGTGGACACCAGGTGGGTCTTGAAGTGGAAGTACAAGGACAGCAGGCACTTCATCACGGCCCGACTCACGATGCGCGGGTTCAAAGACCACGACGAAAACTTGGCCATTTTCGCCGGCCCGAGATCTCGATGGGGCCAGCGTATTGCGAACGCCATCACAGCGCAGCAGGACGATTGGGCACTGTTCAGCTTCGACGTCAGCGCCGCTTTCGCGAAGGGCCTGACTTTCCAAGAGCTTTCTGAGTTGACAGGGGAGCCTTTTCGCGTGGTGCAGTTCGAGTTGCATCATGATGGTATCAAGCTGCTGAGAGAGATTCCTGGCTACGAGGACTTCAACCCAGCGCAGAAGTCATCTTGATGGTCAAGGCAGTGCACGGCCTGAAAGACGCACCACGAGCATGGCGGAAGAAATTGCATTTGATCCTCGAAAGCTTCGGCCTGCAAACCTTGCACGCAGATCCACAACTGTACTTACTGCGCGACATGCGCGCCAAGTTGAACATGGTTCTCAGTGCTCGCGTAGACGACTTGAAGGGAGGAGCCTCGGGAACGCTAGCTATGGAGCTCCTCAAGCACTTGGAGAAACACGTGGGCACTTGTACACAGGAGTGGGCCAACTTCACACACGTTGGCGTCGAGCATGTGACCAGAGCAGACGGCATTTACACGCGCCAGGAGAAGTACGCGGCTTCCCTCAGGGAGAAGTACGCTGATTTGGAAGACGAGCAGAACGTCAGCGTTGAGGCGAAGAGCCACTACTCCACGCTCCGTGGCGGCGTCGCCTGGCTTGCCTCACAATGCCGGCCATCGCGGTGCACGTGCAGGCACTTCAGCGACGCGGAGCCGAACCGAGAGCACAGGACCTTAAGCGTCTGAACCTTGACTTGCGCTGGGTCCGCTAGCACAAGGTCCGCATCCTGTTCAGGAAGCTGCAAGGTCATCTCCGACTTGTTGGGGTCACGGATGCAGCCTTCAAAGGGCTTCCAGACGAGCCATCTGGACTTACACTCCGCGGATGCGTCATCATCCTCCACGCGGATTGCGATTCGACGCCGGCACCTCCGGATGGGGCTTGCAACATCTTGGAGTTTCAATGCCGACGGCAATGCCGAGTAGTTCGTTCGACCTTCAGTGGCGAGCTGAATGGGCTGGTTGACACCCTGGAGATTCTCTTGGCTATCCAGATCTGCTTCCACCAGATCTACCACGGTTGTGCGGCCACAGCCAAGAGCCTGGCGGACGACTTGGACAACGGACGACTCCAACCTCCAGTTGATGCAGCACTTGACACCAGGAGCGCGGTCGATTGCTGGGCCGCCACCGACGTGGGCAAGCTCGTCGAGGGCAGTCTGAAGCTGCACGTTCTCACTCTTAGGGAACGCCTGCAGTCTGGCACCCTGCGACGCCTCTTCTGGACAGACACATGGGATATGTTGGCGGACGGCCTCACCAAAGGGTCAGTTCCTCGTGACCAGCTGATTGCCGTCAGCAACAGAGGCGAATACCGCGCAGCGCGCGCCGCGGCCAGCACGACCGCGTCGAACGGCCGCAAGCAGACCACCGGCAGCCAGTAGTCCGAAACACCTGAGGCAATTGAAAAGTTGTCTCTGCACCACCACTGGCAATTGCAAAGTTGCCTCACAGAGAGCCGCGCCTGCGTCAGGGGAGCTCTGGCGAGTACGGCGGCCCTGCAGTGAAGACGCGCAGGGCTCCGGGCAAAGAAATGCGCCTGTAGCAAAGACCTGTCTAGGTCACCCCCTGCATGGAAACATGTAGGGTTAGACACGAAACGGCGTCTACTGATGGGCGTAATTCGTAGGAGCTGACAGTCGCGATATGGGCTGTCTGTGTAAAGCAAACAGGCAGCCGGCAGTCATGAAATAGACTGCCTCGCCTTCCTCTCGCTTCCTCGTTCCTCCCCGTCCCCTCTGTCTGTCGCGAGTAAGATGTCACGAAGCAGGCAATACTGATGAGGTACCATGTGATAGGTATCAGATGTGCGCAGTAATCTCGATAGCAGCAGTGTGGGAGTTATCCTAGGTAGCTGCGAGAGAACGGCTAGGCGGGGCAAGAGATAGCCTGCCACGAGCAGGAGCGTGGGCATTGAAAAGTGCTCGCGTTCCCCACATAAGGCATCGCGGTATAGATGTCGGTTTCACCGATGAGGTTTTCGACCGGTCCTCTTTCGCAGTTTTCCGGAGCGCGGAAGCCAGGCGCCAAGCAGGAGGAGAGTTGTTTGGGAGTTCTGCAGCCCCACCCCCTCGTTACAGCGCTTGGCACCCCCTCCCGCGCGCCGCCGCCTTTTCGAGCCTCGGGTGCCAGCCGCTCCTGTGGAGCGTAGCAGAGGCGTCCGCCCCGCTGCAAATGCAATATCTCTTGCCCCATCTACTCTCACATCTTACTCCCCCACTCTTGTTCTACATCCCCTTCTGCTTCAAGGTCTTCCTGGAGATCTTCTCACAGAAGCGCACGCTGGCGTTTCCACTTAATTGATCTGTGCCATTCGCCCCCGTTGTCGAACGCTCCTGACTTCTCTGGCCGTGCCCTTGCCGGCGGCGCGGACCCCCCCCCCCCTCGCCCCTCGCCCGCGAGTCCTGCTCGTGCCGGCGCGTGCTCCCCGCCTGCTCATCCCCCTTGCGTGTATTTCAATTCGTCTGGCGTTCCCGACATTTTCCACTGTTCCCCCTCCTGTCGAGCCCTCCTGCTCTGCCCGCTGCCTGCCCCCCGCTCGCTCCCCATCCCTCCGCCCTGGCCGCCGCTGCTCCTGTCGCCCGCTGGCGCCTTGCCAGCCCCTTTTTTTGTTTGTCGTCGTCGTCTCTCGGCTACCAAAGTGAAACAGCGGCTACCGCGCCGCCCATCGGGCTCGGCGACTTCGCCGCCCAGGCGCTGGAGGAGACCAGGCGTGCCTTCCCACCGCGCCTGGGGCAGAGTGGTTGGAGTGACCCCCGCCCCTGCGCTCGTCTCCTCCTCCTCCTCCTCCTCCACCTTCTCCTCCTCCGCCTCCTCCTCCTCCTTCACGTCGTCCTCCTCCTCCCCCCCCTCTCCCCCCATCCCCCCCCCCCCCCCCTCCCTCCCCCCTTCGACGGCCCCTGGGGCCCCGAGTCCGAGAGGGCCCCCGGGCCAAGCGGACGACGCGCGCCCGCGCCCGCGCTCGCGCCCGCCCGCGCGCGCGACCGCCGCGGCCGACGGCCGATCGGGGCCGGCGCCGGGCAGCTGCGGGGCCAGCGGCGGGGCCCGCGGCGGGGCCGGGCGGGGATTGCGGCAGGGCCGGAGGCGCCAGGGGCGGCGCTCCTCGGCCTTTGGTTCCTAGAGCCTCCGCCTCCTCCTCGTCGTCCTCCTCCTCCCCCTCCTCCTCCTCCTCCTCCTCCTCCTCCTCCTCCTCTTCCTCCTCCCCCTCCTCCTCCTCCTCCTCCTCCTCCTCGTCCTCGTCCTCCTCCTCCCCCTCCTCGTCCTCCTCCTCCTCCTCCTCCACCTCCTCCCTCCTCCCTCCTCCCTCCTCCCTCCTCCCTGCTCCCTCCTCCCTCCTCCCTCTTCCTCTTCCTCCTTCTCCTCTTCCCCCTCCTCCTCGCTCCGGGGCGGGCCTCCGCCGCGGTCTGCCGCCTGCCAGCTGCGCCCCCACCTCCTCCTCGCCCTCTTCCTCTTCGGCGCCGCCGTCGTCGCCCCCCTCCTCCACGCCCTCCTCCTCCACCTCCTTCCCCCCCTCAGCGCAGGCCCGCCGCGTGGCGCTGGGCGGCGCCAGGTGGCGCCAAACAGCGCAGCTAACCGCGCTACTGGCGCGGGACATCTCGGCGCGCTGCTCCCCTTCTGGCAGCTCGCGCGCGCGGTCGACCAGCCACTGGCGCGCCTCCGCGCCGAGCCGCCCCGCGGCCTCCACGGCGAAGGCCGTCAGCCGTTCGCCGGGGTAGCATTCGTGCGTCTTGCGTTCTGCTCGGCGCGAGGCCTCGCCTGGCCTGGCCTCGCCTCTGCTCGCCCTTCCTCTTCCTCCTCCTCCTCCCCCTCCTCCTCCTCCATCTCCTCCTCCCCCTCCGACCCGCCCCCTCCTCCTCCCCCTCCTCCTCCCCCCTCCGCCTCCTCCTCCTCCGCCTCCCC